GGAATTGTAGTGACAACCGTTATTTCTTCTTCAGTGATGGATCTTCTCTGGTTAGGGAGACTTCAGGGAGAGGCTCCTGGAGGATGGCATTCCTTCCGAAGGAGCTCTCTGGGCAAGCCCTGCTCTTCTAGAGAAAAGAGGATCCAGAGACAGGGGAGATTGAGAGCCTAGAGAAATTGCGGGGCTGCTTCACAAATCCGAAGTATTGAGCAGGTAAAGCCACTTGCTTGAAGATCGTCATTTGCCAAGCCCAGGCAGAGCTCATGTGCTTAATATCCCCAGCTTCACATTGTGGTAACGGGTGTGAACTGTCTCCCAGGAAAGAATCCTTAAACACGCACTGGCCAGAGCTTTTATTGGAGACTGGCACCCTCTCTGTATAGTACATACAGAAAGAAAGCCAGGTGTTCGGTCGTAAACCTTACCTTTTGCACAGTTGAGATGCTGTGAGCCACTGCTATCGGGATGGGGGAATACCTCCCAAATCCAAGTTTCTAGATGCCAGCTAAGGACCAGCCTGTAAGCAGGACTTTCTTATGTCTCAGGCCTGCTCTTCTACACAAATACATGCAGATGAGGGTATTAAAGAGCAGTACCCCGCCTCCCCATGCCACCATTTTAACCACTAGCTTCCCTGAATTCTTCAATTAAAATTTTTGTTTTAAACAGAAATTCAGATTTCCATTTTGAAGATGTTATCGCTACAATACTATGAAGGATATATTATAAACCACTGAGAATGGAAATCAGGTAACTGTATTAGCTTAGGTGATAGGTTAGTGCTTTTGAATTAAGACCCTGGAAATCAAGAGAGGGAGGGATGGACTCAGACTACATACATGTATTTGTGTGCATTCATATTTATGTATATATCTTGGTACTATAAAGTTACTGTATTAGAAAATAAATATATGTAACATAAATATATTTTCTTATTTGTGCAAAAGGAAAGTTTTTCTAAGTTTAAACACAAAGTCATAAGTCATTGGGTACAAATTTCGTCATCATTCAGGTTTCAGGGTGTCCCCCTTAAAGAGAAGATGGGAATTTCAGCTTGATCCAGGCATGTTCCTAATTGTTCTCAAAAGCACTTAAGGATGTGTCAGTGAGAGGGATAGGTTGATGTGTTAGGCAGAGTTAGAAAGTAAGAGAAAACGGGAGGGGACCAGAGCTTGATGCGCTAAAGCGCATGCAGCTGTGATGGACAGGACAGGGGCCCAGTAACAGGAATGAGAGCGGCTGAGCTGCGCCAGGGTCTGCTGGCCACTGTCTTTAGTTCTGGTTTTGTACGATGGCTCCAGAGAAGTCCTTATTGGAGAGGTCCTTGCGGCTTAATCTGCTGTGCTTGAGCTAATTGTTCCTATTGAGGCATTCTCAGTTTTGTGGTTCTGCTGGAAGCTAAGGTGACCACAGGTTTAGGGCAGTGACTGGAGACTCTGGCTGCAACTCATTGTTGACTGCCTGTCCCTGTAAATCTTCGTTTTGGTGTCATCTTCTTGAAGGGGCATGAGGTGTAGGTTATGGAAGTTGAGAACTAATCAACATTTTGTTGCCAGCTTTCATTTGTTCATTCAAATTTTATTCTGTTAGTACATGTTTAGGGTACGTTCCTCCTGAGGAGTCTGTGCGCGCACGTAACACATCATCCCCTTCGCGCCTCATTAACAAGCCTGTGTGCATGGCAAAGGAACGACCTGACCCACATTTTTAAGGCAATAAAGAAAATAGATACAAAATGAAGGTCAGACTTTGTTCCTCTCTTTGGTTAGCTTAAGGGTATCTGTAGGCCCCAGTGAGGAGTCATTTTGTGCTTTCATTTTTCAGGAAAAGCAACTTTCAAGTCCCTGACTGCCTTAGAAAACACAAACGATTCTTTTAATGAGTAACAGGTTAAGGGCCCAGGACTGAGTTTGTTCTCTGTCCCTATAGTGCTCTCTCACTGTTTCAGTTTGGTAAATGTGGGACAGAAATTTAAAACCTCCAACAGAAAGCAAGAAAAAAGATCAACAAAACTAAAAGGAAATTGGGAAACCTTTTATAACCTGAGAGAGCATTTTATGTCTTTGGTATATTAACAGTTATCAATTAGTATTAAAACATCTTAATAGCCTGATAGAAAGTTGGTAGTTAATTAATGGGCAATTCGTAGAGGAAAACGGTAAATGATCATGTGATATTTTTCAGTCAAGACCATTTAAGCATGAGCAATAATGAAACAGATTCTTCCATAAATTAATTTTAAAAAATGATAATTAGTGGTCTTGGAAATTGGGAGTAACCTAAATGTCCAGTACTGTATTATTTATATAAATTGATATACTCATGCATTTATATATTAACTACCTAGTAAAAACATTTACTAGAAAATAGTAATGATATGATGGTTTTAATAATAAACTGTATCAGGTTTTCTATAGATATATTTTACTGAGTACATACAAACATGCATGATAGACAGAAACATACTTTAGAAATATCCTTCTTAAGAAATTAAGTAGGTGGTAGGACTATGAATGATTTTTGTTTTCTTTGTGATTAAGAAAACAAGCTTCAAATATCTTTGACAGAGGTTGTTATGGGCTGCCTAATTTTTGTAAATAAAGTTTTATTGGAACACAGCCATGCTCATTTACACATTTTCTCTACCCACTTTTGTAGTACAACAGCAAAAAAAATATTTATTACTTGGTCCTTTTAGAAAGTTTATCAGCCATGTATGGTGGCACACACCTGTAATCCCAGCACTTGGGAGGCTGAGGCAGGAGTGTGTCTATGAGTTTGAAGCCGGCCTGGGCTACAGAGTGAGTTCAAGACCAGCCTGATCTACATAGTGAGACCCTGTCTCAAAAACAAAAACAAAAACAACAACCTATAGTCTGTGTTCTATTTTTATATTTATAAATGAACTTCAGAAGCACATGTGTTCTAACATAGTCATAATGTGTTGTAAGAAAAACAGCACTGTTGTTTATAGTGTTAGAATTTTATTTTCCTTAAGCTTCTTGGTAGTCTCCTGCTCAAAAAAATTATCTCTAATAGGAGAAATACTTAATAAGTATTTTTGATACCAGAATGAATTAATTTTTTTAAAATAACATAGCAGTAATGGTTATATAGGATCACTACTAGCTAATATCTTGATACTTTAAAGCAATAGTGACCTAATAGATAAAGAAAGTTGAGAAATGATTTTCTATTAATACTATCAGAGGGTTAAAGGACAGACATTTAAGGAAGTTAGTGTGCTTATTGCTAAAGGTCTTTTTAGAGAATATCTGTAAAGCTGATTGAGTGATGGAACGTAAGCCAACATGAACAAGAAAGGAATGTACCCTAAACTATGAGTCTTACTATATACCTGGATCTGTGGGGAAGTGCTGTTTAATAAACAGAAGTGTTCTATATCTTGTAAATGAAAACACTGAGGTGTGGAGAGTTTCAGGTGTTTACCTAAATCGTTAAGAGTCTGTTGAGCCTCCACTTGCATCCAGGTTTATCTGAGAGGAGCACTTAGGATTATCTCAGCCTTTTTTCTGTAATGTGTTGCCACGTCGGTCTCAAGAACTTGCAGCAGTATCTGGAATTTAGGTTTTTACCTAACCCCCCAAAATGCAATTTTAGCTATGCATAAAGTTTTATTAAACAATGCAGTAAGCTCTTTGTTCTAGATAACCGTATTTTAAGGATGGTGTGGGAACAACTTGCTGTGGCTCACATTAACTTTTACTTTATGAACTTGGAGAATCTACCGATTCTAGGATCTTATGGTGTTAGTGTTGTAATTCTGTTTGAGCCGTTCATCCAATTTAGATCATTTAAACAACCAAACTGTTTGAGCTCTAAAGTACTGCAGAAACCCTTGAAAAAAATCAGTGTTTTTCTTGATTGGCATATGCATCTACAAACTAATTATGATTCACTAAGAATCTCTGTGTCTTATGTAGTCAAAGTTCACATAGCTCATTTTTCCTTGGAGGTAAATCAGAAGAAAGAGTTGTCTATGCAAGCAGATACACTTTTTCTCAGCAAAAATGAAAACTGTGTAAATCAATATTTTCTTTTTGTACTCTAGCATATGGAATAAAGAAACCAAATTTATTGATAAGCATAGTGATTATTTTACCTTAGGTGTTTGGTAAAAAAACTGTTTTCTTAGAATTTGTTTTATGGTATGCCTAAACATTTTTATTTACCATTGGAGGCAAATGCATTTTAAAACATTCATGTACTTAATTTAAAATTAAGTGGATTATGCATTAGCTTGAATGTAAAATACTAATTCTCAGCATAGCAAATTATAATATAATTCAAGTTTGAGAGTCATACTTGAGTAAAAATAGGTAAAATGCATCCAGTTTTTCCCTGAGACCTGTTCACTGAACCTGGGTCTGTTTATTCTGGTCCAGCTGGAACTAGAAAGGGAGAGCATGTTCACGGTCCCGGGAAGGCCCGCCCTGCCTTTAGGCTGGTGCGTGCGAGAGGATATATATAGTTCCACACCAGTCTGGAGTACTGTCATTCTTCCTTTGCAGTTTCACGTCTTAGGATGCTTCAAGTGTTAAGTTACCCCCAACTCATCACATACTCAGATTCAAACAAATATATCCAGGTATCTAAAGTACGTACAGAAAAATACGAACTAATGATTTTTTATTATCTCCCACTTGTTCATTATCTGACACTTGTTCATGATTTGAATGTTCCTAGTTTCTGTATGTGTGGTGGGTCTTCTAACCCTGACTGATTAATGTAGGGAATCTCAACATAGTGATTTCAGTTTTCTTCTGAAAAGGGAAACTGAGGACGCTATACTCCAAGATGATCAAATCCTGAAACATACTCAAGGAGACATTTGTATGTTTCAGGATTATCTTAGGGCCTACTAAATAGTGTTATGATAGTAGTGGTTGGAATCTGTCACTCTTTAAACCAGAGAAGTCCTAACCTTCTTCTTTTATGGTTTACATAACTACATGAAATTTACTTTTTTGTTTTTCTAGTCTATTCGGCATTTGAAGTACTCAGTGTATAAGAAATCGCTACTGGGCAGTGTCTCAGATAATGGACTAGTCACTCTCTGGGACGTGAATAGTCAGAGTCCATACCATAACTTCGGCAGTACACACAAAGCTCCAGCTTCAGGCATCTGTTTTTCTCCTGTCAATGAACTGCTGTTTGTAACCATAGGCTTGGATAAAAGAATCATCCTGTATGACACTTCCTACAAGAAGTAAGTGTGAGATACTCGTTGCTCAATTTATAACAGGTAGTTACTAAGTCATTAACAGACATCAGGTATTTGTCACTCAGATAGATTTCCGAGTAATGTCCAGGAGATGGGCTCTTTGTACACTTGATGTATCCTGTGAAACTGAATTTTTTTTTTTTCTTCTCATGCAGAATAAATGGGTAAAGGAGTGGATATTAGGGTATTCCTGGAAAGTGAGTGTTAGGGATTGCATCTTAATGATTTCACATTTTAGCATACTTATTCTTTTTCAAAATAAACCTAATATAAATTTAAAGCAGTGTGATTAATTTGCCTTAACATTTACTTTCTGGAGAAGGTTTCTAAACTGCTGACCTTTGGGCAGGTTGCTGTCTTGGACGTTGTAGGATACTTGACAGCATCCCTGGCCACTGCCCACTAAACCTCAGTAAGGTTCCCTGAGTTGTGACAGCCTAAACCATCTCCAGAAATTGCCAGATATCCCAAGGGACAAAATTGCCAACAGCTGGGCACGTACTCTTCTGCTACGCCCCTTGTGCCCCTTTTCAGTTATAGATACGCTTGATTAGCTACCCGCCCCCCAGCAAGCCCCCACAAAAACCAGCTGCAAGAATGCTACAGTTGTTTTCAAGACATCTTGAAATCTAAAGATCACATAGGTTGTTAATGTTTTATTAGAGAGTAGTAGGGACTGTCAGACCTTGTTACGATGCTAGAGTTTTTACTATTCTTTATGTCACTGCCTTCCTTTTGAAATAATTTACTGAGAACCCTGTGTGTGAGCCATTCTTCACTTGTAGGAGACACACCAGCAACGCGCTCAGCTTCAGATGAACTCTGTTCCTCTTAGCTTTTTGGTCCAAACAGAGTAACAGATGCTGCCCTGTGAAAGGTCAGAGTCCTCTGAGACCTAAGCAGGTCAGTAAGTGGAAAGTGGATACTTAGAGCCTCCTCAGCCCCGAGGCGAGAGCTTTGCTTTGTGGAGTGACACCCAAGAGTTGTGTCACGTTCACTGCCCAAGTACTAACTCCGCCGAGAGAAAGGTGCTGTTCTGGAAGATGTAGAATGTACCTATTGGAAGTGAATAGCAAATAGGATGCAATGTTTAGCAGTTCTTTTTTCAGATTTTTATTATTTTAAATATATTTTATTAGTGCCTATTATTTTACAAAATACTGGGTATCAATGTGGTATTTTCATACCTGCTGTTCAGCTGCCCTTTACCTGTCCTTTTATTGTCTCTCACACAAAGTCTGAAATTCTACTTTAAACAGGTGTTTGGGGTGTGTATGCTGTTTGCCCAATGCTGAATGATTGGGTTGTTAGTAATGTATTCCATGTAAACTTCTGTGTCTGCTTATACGGGCGGATCTGCGTATACTCTGTCTTTCCTCCCAGGCTAGTGAAAACTTTGGTGGCTGATGCTCCTCTGACTGCAGTCGATTTCATGTCCGATGGAGCCACTTTGGCAATTGGCTCGTCCCGTGGGAAAATATATCAGTATGATTTAAGGATGTTGAAATCACCCGTTAAAACCATCAGCGCTCACAAGACGTCTGTGCAGTGTATAGCATTTCAGGGCTCCACTGCTCCTCCTAAGGTGAGATAATTTCTTTTTAGCATTTTTGATTTTACTAAAAAACGTTCAGTTCAAAACGTGAAAAATGTATGTTGTCAAAGTGTAATATTGTTTCATAATTTTATATGATAGCATTTGAAATAATTTTAGTACAAAGCTGTTTGATTCTTAGTTAAAAAATTTGTTTTGATGCTTAGTTCTCGTATGTCTCTCTGAAAGTATTTTAAAAGCTTGTTTTGGTACAGAGGGAAGCTCAGCTGCACAAATGAAGTTAAGATTTGTAAGGGAAAGGTGACTTTTTTAACTTAACAGGGAATTGATAAAATATTAATGTATAGTCTGGCATCAGTAACCTGAGCTTTTGAATGTTCCATTTCTTCTCAGTCAAGTTTAAGTAAAGGCTGCTCAAACAAGGCCGCAGCCCTGAACAAGCGGAGCGTTACCGTGAGCTCGGCCGGGGGCGGGGCGCAGAATTCCGGGGTTGTCAGGGAAGCCGCCCCCGCTGCCGGCACCGCGGTTCTGTCGAAGCCCCTGACGGCAGCTGCGGCCAAAGGCATCACTAGCACTCAGGACAAAGCAGGTAAATGTTACTCCTGTTGGGTTTGGAGGTTTTTTCCTTCCCCAAACATTTGTAGTTAGCAATTTCTTTAGGACCCTAGAACTCAAATGTTGTTTTTAAGAAGTTCCCAAAGTACTCTTTTTCTATTTGGTGAACTTCTGTTCGTGGCTTGTGTGTGTGTGTGTGTGTGTGTGTGTGTGTGTGATACTGGGATTTTAAACGAGGACCCTCTTACTGAGCTACATTCCTAGGCCTTTTAAAATTTTTTTTTTATTTTTTGAGACTGCAGGCTGGGCTCAAATGTGTGATCTTCCCGCCTCAGCTTCCCTGAGTGCTGGGATTACAAGTTTGTGGTATCACAGCTGGCTTTGTGTGTTTTTTGTTTCATTTTCTGTGCTGGGAATCAAACCAAGGCCTTTAAACTGCCAGGCAAGTGCCCTACCATGGAGCTACTTAGCCCTCAGATGAACTTCTTTTGAGAAATAGTGATTATTTTAAAACTAGAATGATGCCTGCGCGGAAATTGTTCATCTTTAATACTGCTACAGACTGTGTGACTTTACACTGTCTTATCAGTAGAGAATAGGAAACTTTGACGCTGTCATTACGATTTCACTTCATGGTAAGAAGAGAAGTTATTAATGGCTCCTCTTATTTCATATCTTACAGTGAAAAGTAAGGTGGTATAATGAATATTTTTAAGTGCTGGAGAGTGCCAGACACATATTAAGCAGAATATCGTTTTTTAAATGAAAATGTTTTAAATGAAAATGTTGCCTTTTTAAATGATTTCTTCCATTCTAATAATCATACTGATGAAACAGTTCTGAAACAGGAATTTCATGTAGACTTTGTGAAGGTATAATTATGCATTTCACCATATTTGCTATGCAGTTTTACCAATACAAAGATCATATTCTGTAAATCTTAAAGATCTGTTTGTTTGGATTTTAAGAAGTTATGCTCTGGGCTGGGGATATAGCTCAGTGGCACAGTGCCTGCCTGGCAAGTGCAAGGTCCTGAGTTTGATTCCAAGTACAAAAAAAAAAGAAGTTACGCTATACTGTCAATTTGCAATGCATTTTTTAAAAAGTACATGGTATGCCAGTGTTTTTCAAAATATTGTACTCAGTAGAAATACATACGTCAGGGCAAGTGTCCTCTCAGTATGAATTTACTGTTTCTGGGTGGCAGCAAAGATTTAGTTTTAGTAATGTGGAATAGATTTTTAAAATATTTTTTAAAATACATTTTTAAAACAATAAGGTAATATTCATTAATACTTTCCTGTGAATGTCTATATCACCTTATAGAATAAAGATAATACAGACGGTTACAAATACTGTGTAATTAGGTCCTTATTTAAAGAATTATTGGAGACAAATACTATTGTTTTTGACCTAAAAGAAAATCTTTTTGAAATACGACCTTGAATAATGTCTGGCAATTTGTTAAGCAAACTATGTAATGAAAATTGTCTTTGTTTTAAAAAATTTTTATAATTTGTTAATTTGTTCATAATTTTTTAAAATAAACTTTCTCATTTATGGTAAACTCTCTGAAGTCTCAATGTTGTTTGTTTAGTCTTTAATAAGTAGTTTCTGGCTTAAGAATGACAGCATTAATTAGGAAACAAAAGACTTGGGTCTGCCAGGTCACTGATTAGCGATAATTCTTGGCAGATTCCCAAAATATCTGGCTAAATGAGTCCACGCAGAGATTTGTATTAATTTTATTTTGAAATAATTACTATCCTACAGGAAAGTTTCAAGAATAGGATAGTACAGAGAACTCTGAGATTTACCGGTTGGTGGGTTTGCTACTTCATGAGCTTTGCTTCATGAACTTTGTCGTTTTCTCTCTTGCTATCACATACACAAACCTTTTTTGCAGAAGCGTTGAGGGTGGTTAAGACTTGATCTTCAGCTCTGTCCCTTTTTACCAGGACAGCTTAGGCAGTGCTTTCTGAGTCTCAAGTTTTTCTTCCATACACTGAGGAAATATTTAACTTTCAGGATCATTAGGAAAAACCAAAGAAAACGCCTGGCACATGGGAGACAGTAAATAATTCCATTTCTAAAAAGATTGTCGCGATTGTCATGTTATTGTAAGCTGTGTGTGAAGCTCCAGTTTGAAGAAAGACTGGTTGCTTCTACTAAAGGTATTCTTCTTTGGTTATTGAAAAGAATCTCTATAACTCATTACTGGTGTTAATTTTTAGTCGGAAACAAGGCCATTTAAGAGGTATGAAGATAAGGTCTTAGCACTACTTTTAGCCAGTCCCAAACTACTATTCTGTAAAGTGCAGAGGCTGGAGTAGGCATTCAGACACAGTAAAGACCTAGAGGAAAGGAAAGGAAAGTTCGCGGTGTGAGCGTGTCTCTGCGGCTGTGATGGACGGATGATGCCGTCCTGCTGTAATTCTGTGGCGCTGTAATTAGGGAAGTGCATTTCGTTAGTGAGGCTTGGGCAGCTTGGCTGTGCAGTGTACTTTCTCCTTGTTTTCAGCACAGGCTTCACAGTTTTCATTTGAGCCTGAGATGCCAAATAAAACACTTTTAAAAATATACTACGGTACCATGTTACCACCCTAGAAGCACGTTTCATCTGTGCTCTGCAGTCCGGAGTATTCACTCTTTAACCCTGAAACAAGCAAAAAGCTACAGAGCCTGCAGGGTTCTTAGAAATTCCTTGCCCTAGAGCCATATGTTACGTACTGCCAGAGGAAATAGACTGCTGTGGCCTTTTTAGGGTTGTCTCCTGTGCTCTTCTTCATGAGTCTGATACTCGGTTTCCTTACTCGTGGTAATCTGCAGCGCTTAGTGAAGACATTTGCAGTCAGTGCTGTTGAGAGGTCTTGCTGTTAGCGAAAGAGAAAATGGAGAGAAAGAGGCCCACCATCCGAAAGTTGGGGAACTAACGTTGAGTCCTGCTGTGTTAGGTACCCAGTGCGTGTGCTAGCAGGCTTTCCCCACGTCCTTTCTAGATGACTATAGGAGTTAGTAAGTAAGTTGTATTCCGTATACTTTAAGAGGGCAGCCAAATATATAAATTGTTTTAGAAAGTTTCCTTATCAAAATGGTTATCCTTATCAAATGTTGCAGTATGAACAAATAGGCTACTGTGTTTGTCTTTGAGGAGCCCTTCCTTCCCTAAGAGTGCGGTTAGGTGATTGCTTATCATATTTGGCTTCTTTTCCTCATGTTTACAGTTGTAAAATTCTAACAATGTGGTGATACGTTAATTTTTACAACGTAGTTTCTGAGGGTAACATTTATTGAGACTGAGTAACACTGATTTTTATGTCAAATTCTTTTCAGGTTTGCCTCGAAGCAGAAGTACAGATATTTTGTCTAAGGAAACAGACAGTGGAAGAAGTCAAGATTTCTCCAGCTTTGATGACACAGGGAAAAGTAGTTTAGGTGACATGTTCTCACCCGTCAGAGATGGTAAGTGTGTTCGGATCAGGGGGTCTTGTTCTTGTGGTGTTGGTGATTACATTTTCATTCTGAAAGTTGTGGGTAATAGCCGCAGTCTAATTTGATTCTTGGTGAGTTGCTAACTTTCTCAATTCCTGTGTGGTATCTTTTCTTTATTATTTTGAATGTTGTAATTCTAAAAAATATTCTGGTAATTTTCATATGGCAACTATGCAGGTAGTTCTCAAGTTAGGTTTTTTTTTTTTTTTTTCTTTTTTTTTTCCCCCGCTATGCAGTTCAGGTTGTCCTTGAGCTTACTTTGTAGCCCAGGCTGGTCTCAAATTTGCAACAATCCTCCTGCCTCAGCTTCCCGAGTGTTGGGATTACAGATTTGTGCCACCACGCCCAGCTCAAGTTAGTGTTTTAATTTTCACAAAAATTTCTTTTATTATGGTGCTGGGAATCGAAGCCAGATCCTTGCTCATGCCACACAAGTGTGCTGTCCCTGAGCTGCATCTCTGGGCTCTATACACATTTCTTACAGGAAGTTTTAGCTTTGTAGGCAGTATGTTATTTATATCTACTTCTGAATAAATCCCCACAAAATCTTGGATATTTTGGTATCCAAAATAGCTTCCTGACTTCAAACATTTAAGATTATTAGTGTTTTCATGGAGTATGTGACTAGGTGATAGAGTGACTCATCTTTTATGTGTGAAAGTACTGTCTGTCTATACACCCCCCACCCATAATGTAATGTAAGTGTTACCATAAAAATGTCTCTGCTGGCTCGATCATTGGAGCTAGGACATTGTTTAGCTCTCCTTTTTTGGCTGTGATGTTTATATTATTTTCCTTAATTTAACAGTCTTGTTAATAGCATTATTATCAGTAATACGGGTAAATAACTAGAAGATAATTTGACAATTAAATTGTTCATTCTTTTTGGCCTGGTAATTTAATTCCGTTTCTACAAATTTATCTCAGAAAATATTCAGAGAAGCCTGCAAAGATATGAGTACTTACTGTTTTTATTTATAATTGTGAAAACCTGAATGTCAACAGTACCAACTCATGATTTTATGCACTTTTTTTTTTTTTTACTTTTAAATTGTGTTTCCCAAGTTTTTTACGTTTCATAATCAGGAGGAGTAAATAATAGGCAGTGGTCCAGGATCACTGTCTTCTGCCTTACCTTGGCCTGAAAGTATCTACATATCTGTTTAACTTTCCAGATCAGACTCCGCTGGCTTCCGCCTAGTAGAGGAGGTGAGCTTCATAGTGAGTGCAGAGACAGGAAGCGCGTTGAGGGAGAGGAAGGCTTAAGGCCGTGCTGAGCCAGTGCCTCTGCTCTCCCTCCTCTGCGGAGCCTTTACACTGGAGGATGCAGGAAGGGACTTTTCACAAGTGTCAGAGTTACACACCTGATCTTCGGAAATATATTTTTTGTGGTTTGTTTTTTTTTGTCTTTTTGAGACAGTCTCACTATGCAGTTCAGGCTGGCCTTGAACTCACTTTTGTAGTCCAGGCTGGCCTCAAACTCACAATGATCCTCCTGCCTCAGCCTCCTGAGTGCTAGGATTACAGTGTGAGCTGCCACACTTGGCTGAAATAGTTTTTAAGGGAAATTAATAAATTAGTTTTGTTGTTTTTGTGAAATGTGATTAGAATGTGAGGCTTTTGCCATCTGTCAGTGTTTTGTGTCATTAATAAAGAAAAACATGGATACTAAAAATAATACTAATTTTCCTTGTTGGGGAATTTGTCTTTTAATATCAAAGATGTAGCTATTTTAGTAAAAGGCATACTCTGTTCATGCCTCAATTTCTTCATCTTTCAATAAAAATGCTTCTTTCATTAAGTGGAAACTAATACGTTCTCTAGAGTATGTGTGTCAGGATGCAGTATACAAATCAGGTGCATACACACATACAAATAGATAATGTTTCTGTGAACATGATGATCATATGTTTATCAACCACTTGACTTTGGTGAATTTGTTTATGACTTTTGCCCATTTTTTATTAATGTGTTAAAATTGATAGGAACAGGTTTTGTTTGTGTCCTACTACATGAATAACATTACAGATTGAAAAAATTAATAACCATTGTTTTTTATAACACCATACTGCTTGCAAGGTATTGTCCCATTGTTTCAGTTGATCCTCAAAACTTGTGAGGTGGTGAAGGCCCTGTCCGTGCTGTAAAGATGCAGAAACCAAACCTTAGTTGCGTTCGAGGCTTGTCCACGGTGAAACACTGCTGAATGAAACAGGAACACTGAATTGTAGATCTCTACAACCTGTTTCGTGGCTTGTTCTATACTTTGCTGCCTATGATATGAACCATATCGTAGAATAATCTTGGTTTTTGCAGCTGTGCATGATGCTAAAAGATTGAAAATGGAGGCTTAAGTGAGTACCAGCTTTAATCCTTATCCTCCCTCGTATTTTTCTTAAGATCAGTGGCCTATGAACTCTTTAGAGAAAGTGGGAAACTTCAGTTGCTGTGACTTACTTTTCACTATTTTAAAATTCAATTTTCTTGTTTTGCTGTAGATGGTGTCGTTAACAAGGGAAGTGATGAGTCTGTAGGCAAAGGCGATGGTAAGAACAACTGAACCGTATTAAGACAGTGAAGTGATACTGTGTTATCTGTTGCTGTGTAACAAATGATACCAACACTTTGAGGCTTACAAGGGAGAGTAAACATTTATCATCTAAATACTCCTGTGAGTTAAGAATCTGAGAATGGTTCAGCTGGACACTTTTGGCTTCAGGTCTTTATTGATGCTTCAGTCAGGGCATCAGCCAGAGCTGCATTCAAGAGTGAGAGAGGGCACCAAGGGAGAAGCCACACTGTGGTTGTACCGTAATCTTCAAGTCACATCCCACCACTGATTACATTTACTGATTTTTCTTTGTTAGAAGGAAATTTCTAAGTGTGATTGGTATTCAAAGGGAAGAGAATACACAGAGATACTGATATGAGGAGGCAGGGATCAATAAGAGCTGTTCAGATATGAACCAAACTAATGCTCTTCAGTTAGAAAAACTAATACGAACACAATCAATGTGTGTTTGTAGTTTTCAAGTATTTTCACATATTCTTTTGATCCTTACCACTGTAAGAGATGGGTATCATCATCATCCACATTTATAGATCAGAAAATGGAGGTTTAGGTGTTCCCAGGAATACACATCAACTAAAAGGTACAGCTGAGAAATGACCTCGTCCTTTGAATCCAGACCCCATGTCTGTTGCTGTATTCGTCTTCCCAGCGGTTAAGGGCTTGCTGTTGAAGGGCCCGTGTGCAGATGGACGTCATGTGCGAATGTAATCTTTTCCTCTTTTTCAGGCTTTGACTTTCTCCCACAGTTGAGCTCAGTGTTTCCTCCAAGAAAAAATCCAGTAAATTCAAGTACTCCAATATTGCATTCTAGTCCTCTTAATGTCTTCTTGCCATCCCCGGGGAAAGAAGAAAATGAAAATCAGGATCTGACAGCTGAGTCTAAGAAAACCTATCTGGGAAAGCAGGAACCCAAAGATTCCTTGAAACAGGTATGCACATGGAGATGGCGCTGGACTCCCTCTGCGTGCTTGTCAGTGGAAAGCAGGCTGCTGTCCGTGGATGGACCTGATTGTTGACAGTGCTCTGTCTGCACTGACGAGGTAGAAAAGACTCTTCAATCTTGATGTCACCTTCTTTTTTGTGGTGGAAGAGTACTGGGGTTAGAAGCCAGGTGTGCTGAGAACGCACTGCGTCACTGCGTTACTCCCCCAGCCCGTGATGGAACGTTTTCATAACTACAGAGCGCTTTTGGAATCTATTTGGAGGGCGCCAGTAATTGTAATCTTCAGACTATTTTTTTCTAAAGTGATCTTTCTGTGTGAGAACATTTCATAGCTTAATTCTTTTAAAATATATATTTTTTGTGGCATTAAGCATCAAGTTGGTAATTAAATCATTTACACTAAGTGCAGATTTGATGGTGCTAAGAATGGCACTCATCATTAATACCTTCTGCTAAAATTACAGTATTTGATATAGAATTTAATTTCTTATGTAGGGGTTCAAAATGATCAGATACTATAGGAAGAACAAATCCATTAGCTGTGTAGTATGTATTTCCATATTTAATTTTTAGAGTAATATTGAAAAATTTATCATGCAGGAAGTACAAAAATGTCTTTTGATTTATTTTTCAAATATTTCTGTCTAGTTTACTACATGAGGGCTTGGGGATTTTCTTTTTTATTATTTCTTTTTAGCCGGTGATTTGCATTTGAAATTATATTCAATAGCAGATGCTTAGAAAATTAGCTTTTCCTCCTCATGTTATTGTTGTGACTGTTTTTGATTAGTACACTTATTTTGCTGCTAGTCCTAATACCTGTTTTACTTCTTCAAAATCTTTTCCTAGGGGCTGGGGGTTTAGCTCAGCGGCACAGCGCCTGCCTGGCAAGCGCAAGGTCGTGATTCCCGGTACCGGGAAAAAAAAAAAAATCTTTTCCTATTCTTCATTTTCCCGGTCCTACCTACTGGAAAAAAAAAAAGCAGAAAGTACATAAAATTTTAGAAGTAATATAGGTAAAACAAATTGTAAATTAAAGTAATTGTTTACTTTAAATGTGAAGTTTGCAAAGTTGATCTCCTCTGGTGCTGAAACTGGAAATCTGAATACCTCTCCATCCTCTAACCAAACAAGAAATCTCGAGAAATTTGAAAAGCCAGAGAAAGAAATTGAAGCCCAGTTGATATGTGAACCCCCAATAAATGGATCTTCAACTACAAGTAAGTTCATAAAGCTTCTGATGGTGTTAAGTTGCATGACCTTCCCATTGTTTAACTTGGAAAGGATAGAGTGATCACAGACTAAAAAAAGAATAGAAGGTGTTTAAAGTTTATGGACATTTCTATGGTGTGACTTTCTCACTGGAAGGCAGTGAAATGTATATGATGGTTAAGTCCAGCAACATCAATTTTTCCTCATTTGGTGTGAGTTTCATTTTCAATCTAGTATTTAAGGTTTTGATTGAATATGGTGTAGATAGAATTATATTACAGGAATATTTGAAAAGGAATGATTAACTAGTTGAAATTATAAATTTTTTTCCTGTCTTCATATTAAAGTATTAACCTTAGAATTTATGCCACAGATTCATGAAAACTTGATTGCATTTAAGGGCTGTTAGGTTCACCTTTAAGAGTTACCTGTACAAAGAAACTCCTTCTAGAGAAGCAACGCTTTTTGCTTTTATATGGGTACCTATATTTAACTTCAAGATTTCTGTGGATGTATTGCATTAGCTTAAACTCCAGGGCTTTGCCTGTAGCACTGCTTTACTCCTGTATTCCTTCTGTTTGTTTTTAATAGTCTTGGTTTATCTGGTTTGTGGTATAGCTTGTCACATTCATCTGTTATAAGAGCAAATGGTTCAGAGATTCTTTAAGATTAATCCCTCTGTCACATGTTACTACATTAGACACTTGACAGTTTATATATATAGATAAATGACTATTAGAAATAATGTCATAAAAAAATTCTAAAATTTGTATTCCAGACAGTGGATTTTTCTAAATGTCACAAGAACCCTCTTCTTTGCCAGTTTTTCAAGTTTTCTCATGCCAAATCTTATTTAGAAATATTTGATGTCTCTTAGTCCAAGTTGACTATTAATATTCTCTCCATTCTTTATTTTAGATCCAAAGATAGCATCCTCTGTCACTGCTGGAGTGGCCAGTTCCCTGTCAGAAAAAATAGTTGATACAATTGGAAGCAGTCGACCAAATGCACCACTGACAACTGTTCAAATCCGCTTTATTCAGAACATGATCCAGGAGACCCTGGATGACTTCAGGTAGTGGTTGAGAAATTACTCTGTCTAGACCTCATAGGTTTGTTGTTTCATTAGGTGAAAGTAACTCTGTAAGTAATGCTGGGAGTTGCTTCCTTTGTCTAGGTTTTGGTAACCCTGAAACCACGTAAAACATGATTTTTTCAGTCTGATTGCACTGAATTCATTGACTATCAGCTAGAAAAAGACACTTTTACGTAGAGCAGTTATCCAGATGACTTGATAGGAAAGTCTAGCACGCAGGCTGCTCTTATGGGTTTTTTAAATTAGCAACAGAATCTTGTAAACTCTAAGATAGTTCTGACATGTGATATTAAGTATGCTGTGTGAGCAATGTAGAGAAAGGTATTTTTAAAATGAATCAAATATTTTCAAAATATGCATCAGAGTGTAGTAATACTTAACATTTAAAACATCTTACCTTGTCTTTTTTTTTTTTTTTTTCTTTTGGCTTTTTGAGACAGGGGCTCACTATGTAATGTAGGCTACCCTTGAACTCACTAGTTAGTCCAAGTTGGCCTTGAACTTGCAGGGATTCTCCTGCCTTAGCGTCCTGAGTGCTGAGATTATAGGCGTGCAACACCATGACCAGCTTCTAACTTCTCGCCCTTTGAATTCTGAATTAGAAGAGAGTGTGTTCTGGAATACTACTACTTTTACTTATTATTTTAATATTTTGGAAACTTTTAAATTATTAGAATGTTTAGTGGTTTTTTTTTTTTTTACCTTTCTAACCTATAGCTACTCAGATTGTCATGAAGAAGATTATTGAAGATGTGTGATTTCATTGGTGCATGTTTATATTTAATGTTTATTTTTAAGATACAATTTTAACATGAGAATAAAATTAAGGAAAAGCATCGTGTTAGCATTTACAGTATACAGTAGTTTGTGTACAAGATAGTAAGTGCACAGAAGTAAGTGTCTGCCTTCAGGCCTTTATGGTTTACCAGGACAGGTACAGTGTGTCCTCCTGTGTGTGTTCGTATAGTGTGAATTAGTTCACTTGTGATTGGCAAATAGGGCAGTGCTGGCAGTGTGACGGAGGAATTTTGTTTGTTCCCGTGAGAACAGCCAGAATAGCTTGCGTGTGAACGCAGCCGAGTGCGATAGCCCTGTCCATGTCCGTCTCCTCTTTCCCTCGAGCTGGCATAGTTGCGTGTCCTGTGTCGGAGTCGCTTATTTGTGATTATCCCGTTTGGGGGCATTTCAGTCCAGATTCCTTCTTCTGTAATCTCTCTCTTTCCATGAAGTGGCCATCACTTTAAGGTACTTTGTTCATTATTTATTAAGTTAGCTTTTAACTGTGCTCATATTTTTATTAGAATTAATTTTTGTGGTTGCATGGGTTTTGAGTGGTTGGCCTGAATCCTTTTTCCTTAAGTCCTGTTATTTTTAAATACTATTTTTAGATACTATTTAATACTATTTAAATGTTTAAATCCTGTTCACACTATTCACACTATTGACAGTTGTAAAGAATAAGAGTTTTTTCAGAAGTCCATAAATATTTATGACATAATAGCAGAACATCGGATATAGCTGACTGTTATGAACAAAATGATGTTAGAAATGCCAAAAGGAAGCAGCTTGCTGGGTCAGACCTAGAAGGTATGAGTGGAGGTTTTCTTTTACACAGAGTGTGTAGGCCCAGCACGCACAGATGTGATTGTAAATCTAGGACTACTTCAGACAGGAGGCACTGTGGTGCAGGTGAAGACAGGTGCTTAGAAGGACTTAGGTGGTGGAGGCTCTTCAGCGTCTTCAATCACAGGCACGGCGGTGCGGTTTACCGTCTGTTCAGCAAGCCTGTGGTGTCTGTTCGCCACTGGCTTCAGGGGATGCAAGGGCAGCGGGCTCAGGACCGTCCCGTCAGCGAGCCTGGAGATCTGAGTGCGACTGAATTCTCTCTTCGCTTTGCCACCTAGCTGCTGGCTTGCTAGGTTGCTGGAGGTTGATTCTTTCACACTCTCATCTCTTCTGGGCTTTCTGTGCTGCAGTTGAGGGTCTCTGTTGCCTCAGTCTTCTAGGTTGTTCCTAGCAGTGCTGTCACTGGGGGCCTAAAGAGGACAGTGTTGAGGGACTCACGAGCCGACCTTCCTCAGCTGACGGCTGCCACCTTCTCCCAGAGATCCTGGAGTGCTTCGAGGTACTCTTCTCAGTCCTCCCTGCCAGACCCCACAGGTGCTGTGCCTCTGTGCCTTGGAGATGGCGTCTGTCAGCCCTTTGCTCTGCCTGCCCCTAATTTTGTTTCTCTTTCTCTTTTTTTCTTTTTGTTTTTCTGTAAGCCCTCAGTGATGGTGGAAATAACGCAGGCTGTATAACTGAGGATTCTTCAGGTTCTTAACTATCATTCTTCACGTGGCCTTTGAAATTATTATTTGCCCTTGGCCTTTAAAATATCTGTAAATATTTAGATCCAGCTCCAGGCCACTGCTGCCTCTTTTTCCATGTATGGAACCAGTATATACTGCCGAAGGAAAGGGAGGTAAATAGGGGTCTTAGGGTAGACTTTCCTCCTTTACAAGAGTGGCCCTTCAAGTCCTAGCTACAGTGATGGTTCTCTGCTACCTTCATTGATTGATTGATTGGTGCTAGGATAGAACCCAAAGCCTCATGCATGCGGGGCAGTCAGTCTACCACTGGTCTGCACGCCCAGGCCCTCTGATGGCTTCTGTTTTGAATACAGCTTTTATCATAACAAAGCAGAAGGAGGCATTTTTAGAAATACTTTGAAAGAAAAAAATAAGGTACTTGAGAATAAATCCAACTAAGGATGAAGATCTTTGTAAAAAAAACTTTTAATGTACCACAAAACATTAACACTTAAATAAATGTAAAGATACTATGAACATGTCGTTCACAATCCAATCAGAATACCAGCTGGGTTATTCTGAAGATGATGTTGAAAGGATTCCAAAATATGTATGGAAGGAAAAGATCAAAGAATAACAGAAACACTCTAGAGAAAAATAAGGTTAAAGGAGGACTTATTTACCAGATGGATAAGCTTAATTTGAAAGTAAGATTAGTGTAGTATTACATTGGCATAGAGTAGTCGGATTAGCAGAAGGACTCAAATAGTCAAGAAAGAAACTTGATAAATGGCAGAGGTAAATTGCAGATCTGTATGCAGAATATGGAATAATCAATAAATTGTGGTTTGTAATTATTTGTGTAAAAGTAAATACAGATCCCTATTTTATACTATTCAAAAAATCAGTTCCATATTTCAAAAAGTTTAAATGTGAAAGACAAAATTTTAGGCAGTTTGAGTTTATAATTTCAGAATAGAAAAATGATTAATAATTAAGAAAGGCACTACCCATAAAAATAGATTGGTAAATTTCCCTGAGGCATTAGGTTAGTAAATTTAAGTGTTACTGATAAGAACTCTCACTATTGAGGTATCATTAACAAAGTAAAAGGCTAAGAAAACATCTGCAGTACTGGTATCACTAGCAAAAGATCAGATTATATAAAGAATTCTTATAAATGAATAAGAAAAATATTTGAAATGACATTTTATAGAAGAGGAATGATACATGAACATAAGGAAAAATTTTCAATCCCACAACTAGCAAACAGAAGATTTTGTAAGATACCATTTCATATCTAAGTGGGAAATACTGTAAAAAGCCTGGTAATACCAAGTCTTGGTGAGGATGTGCAGCAAGAAGAACTGTTACGTTCATGGTGAACATACTCATTAATACTGCCACTTGGCAAAACAATTTGCATGGTTTTGTAAAACTATCAAGTGTACACCTAGGTTTATTATTGGATATATCTTTGGATATTGCTATTTGTGGATTCAGAGTTACATACATGATTGTTTATAACAACATGTTAATAAAAACTAGAAAATAACTCAAGTATCAAGTGACAGGAAAATGGATATACCAGTATAAACCGGTGAACTAGACTGTGAACTTGAAAGTAAATCTCTCCACTGTAATCCAGTCAGGACTGCATAGTTTTATATCCTTTTGTAATGCCCCAAAACAAGCACAATAGAAACATATTAAATACAAATGTAGTGGGGTTCTTTTGTTTGTTTGTTTTGGTACTGGGAGTGGAACTCAGGACCTTGTGCTTGCCAGGCAGGGGCTGTGCCTCAGAGCTAAATCCCCAGCCTTCAAACGTAGTTTTTAAGGAAAGCATTTCTTTGCTGAAAATTAAGGGAAGGATGGCTGCTTTGGATATCTCTCCAACAGTTAAGTGATGATATCAGATAGGGTATCAGCTTTTCTGACTTGATAAAGTTTTAGCTCCTAAGTTGTGTAACGAATGACCAGTGTTTCTGATCTTCATGTGTTCCTTTGGAGACATGAATTAGCTGTACTTTATTGAGTAGGTCACACTACAACCATCCCTATTTCTATTAGAAATGTTTTTTAGTAGCTGAAACACTGATAATCAGATGTTTGTAATCTAATGAATTTTGTCTATCTCCTCTAAGTCTCTATCTTTCTTTCATGATTATTTCTATCCAAAGGAATACTGTACAATAGGAGAGCTACATGTAGGTAGCTTCGGTTTATATTCTGATCCACCATTTGTTGGTTGGGTAGCTTTGGACAAGTTATAACTGGCTCAATGGCTTAATTGGCAAAATGGAAAAACTAGTAGGTCCTAATTGCAAGGATTAAGCGAGTTCTGATATTTGAAGTGTAAGAAACAGTGCCTAACACATAGTAAACAGGTACTAAGTGCATTGATATCTTTACTTTTGTGGTAATTATTAAGGACCAATAATGTGAAACAGTAAAAACACGTTTCTTGAATGATCTCGAATTGGTTGAAGTGTTACCCTTCTGACAGATATTTACACTTTTCCCTAGAGAAGCGTGCCACCGGGACATTGTGAATTTGCAAGTGGAGATGATTAAACAGTTTCATATGCAACTGGTACGTACGGCAGGTTGTCTTTTAAGTGAATATGGAGTGGTGTGGATCTACAAGCACTCCATTATAGGGCAATGTATTTTTATCATTTTGATTGTGAAGATAAATAAATAGGAAATTTGAAAAATTTAATAAGTAAAACATTTTAACTGGTCACATTTTTTAAAAACTTGTAATAGTTAAGGCTATTTTTTACAGCTTTTTTCCCTTCGGTAAATGGAAAGCCCCCTCACATCTGTGAATATAAATCTTCCAAATGTTACCAGTGATATTTGTGGTTAAATACAAGAAATATCATTCAGCTAGTTAGTTGAACTTGAGAGAAATGATAGCTGAAAGCATATAAAACATAGCTTGCCAAGTAAATGTGAAGTACCAATCATTTTAAAAGCATTTCCCTTTTTTCTAGAATGAAATGCACTCTTTGCTGGAAAGATTCTCAGTGAATGAAGGTTTAGTGGCCGAAATAGAAAGACTACGAGAAGAAAACAAAAGACTTCGGGCTCACTTCTGAAATTTCCGCAGATACCTTAACGTTTAATAATTTGTGAAGTTTCTGGCAACACAGGACTACGTAGAGTCAGTACTGTGTGCATGGCCTGGGGCGGAGGCCATGTTTTCTTCAGGTTGCAGCGTGTTGAAATTTTGTACCAACCATCATTTCATCTTCTCTGTCAAAAATATGTATATTTTTATATTAAATACTACAATACATCATCTGCCTTAAGAAAATCCACAGGGTCTTTATTTTCTGAAAGCTTTAATAACTATACACCAAGTGTCCTTTTTCATGAGCAAAGAAAGTTGCATAAAAATCAGTTATGTTTGGTTTTTACCTTTTTTTACTGATATATATTTGATTGGCAAATTACCTTACAAATTTTGGAGGTGTAGTTGAGATTTAAAAACTTTGATATCCTTTGTATTTTTATGCAGAAAGAAATTTTAAAATGACATTTGATTTTTTTAAGCCACTGATGACTAAAACCACAGAGTTGGCTCGTAATTTTTTTGTTACCTTGATGACATCAAGTGTGACTATTTATTACTTACATGTGGTAATTTCTTAAATCTTGAATTGTACAAATAAACTATATCTTTTGCATTTGTGCTACTGTACTTTTGCTAGCTCTCTACTCTTGCTTGGTATTTATTAGCTAACTTTGTGAGCGCTAATATATCTGCTGATCATTTTATGAATTAATAACGTAAATTTATACTACAAAGCTTTCATCACCATGACTCAGCTTAAAATCTGAAAATTTCATATTAGTTGCAAAATATTACAGTATTGTTGCTTCATTTTTCCCCCAAGTGAAAAGTGGATTATTTTGTTCTATGGTTTGTGGCATAAACTTCTTCTAATTCTTTGTTTGTCATGAATATTTTTAAATTATTGGCCTTAGCATAAGATTATTTATAAAGATTCATTGTGAAAAGAATTTTCACTTCTTTGGCAATAGTTGGCCATATACAGCTACCTGTGTGATCTCTACTTTCAGTGTCCTAAGATTAGGACATCTACTTGTTCATGTTACTGTTGTCTTTTGCCCAATGACTTAAACTCTGTATCATCTGGGTAGCTCTGCTGCTCTGTTTTGGATTCTGGGTTGAAAATATTTACCAGAATTAAAAAAAAAAAAAACAAAACAACAGAACAAAAGAACACACACAGCCCTAGTTTAGTACACTAACTGTGTTTTTCCACAGTGATGGAAAAATACTAAAAATCTTAAATAAATGTTAAATATTAGCAAGTGAACATACTAATAATTTTTTTCTAAAAGTAAAAAACAGTGACTTCACTTTTCCCTAGCACTTCTTAACGAATACATTTGTATTAAAGCATATAGAGGTGTAAAAATGGCCTTTTCCTACCAGATTATTAGAACGTTATGACTTATACCCAGTTTCCTTCTGTATCATTGGTTAGATGGGTCTGAAGACACAATGCAGTATTAGTGTGTTTCGGCTGCCTGCTGTATTTAAATCTATTAATATTTTCCTGTTGCCTTTTTCTATACATGCACATAATGTTTATTAAAAGAAGTGGGATAAACAAATTAATTTTAGTAATTTTATGTGTATAGATGAAACATTTTTGTCATGGATTTAAAAGCTAAGTACAAAATATAAAAATTTTATATTCAATAAATAAGAGTTCTAAAACAAAACCTTGCCTGTGGCCAAAATGGAATAATAGGGATTGGACTTACTTTCCCACTGTAAATTCCACAAAGACAAAACAACAGTAACAAAACAGACAAAATGTGTGAAATACTTGTCAGATCGCAGACATTATGCAGTGAACCTTGAGAAGGGAAACACGTGAGACCCAAGAAATTCAATGAACTGAAAACACAAGAAATAGAACTATATCGAAGTTTTTAAAACCAGCAACACGAGAAAATTCTTAAAAGAAGTTGAAGAAAAAGGCACAGAACAAAGAGGGGCACAGTGCACCCGGTGCATGTACATAACACATCCTAATTTCTTTTTCGGTCCTCGCCGTGCCCGACTCTTGATCCCCTTCCCATTTGAGAAAGATCTGTCTTCCTATTTCCTATTCTCTATTTTACTATCTCCTTTATTTTGCTATTTATTTGTATTTTGAGTTTCTCATATAAGAAGCTGTGCAGTATTTAAGCTTGTGTGACTGATGTATTTTAATTAACCTCATGGCTCAAGGTGCATTCATTTTCCTACAAGTGATTCAAGTTTATCTTTCTTTATGGCATAGTAGTATTCCATTGTATATTAATACCACCTTTTCTCTGTCCATTCATCATTGGTGGACATATAGGCTGTTTCCAAGATTTAGTTATGAATTATGGTTCTATAACATGCATATGCATGTATCAATTAATATGTCATTAACTCTTGGGAAGATACCTGGAAGGGGCATAGCTGGATCAAATAGAATTTCTAGTCTCTATTTGGTTACCTTTTTTTTTTTGAGATGGTCTCACTGTGTAATTCAGGAGGCTGGCCTTGCACTCACTCTGTAACCCAGGCTGGCCTTGAACTGCCAGTGATCCTCCTGCCTCAGCCTCCTGAGTGCTGGGATTACAGGCAAGTGCCATCATGCCCCGCTGTAGTCTATTTTGAAGACTGTTTGCATAATGATTGTACTGGTTTATATTCCTACAATGTAGAAAAGTTTCTTTTTTCCTCACAGTCTTGTCAGCATTTGGTATTTATTACTTGATTTCTTGATGATGGCCATCTATCTTTCTGGGGTAAGAATCTGTTCTTTTAATTTGCATTTCTCTAGTGGCCAGAGATATTGAACATTTTCCCATGTATTGGCCATTTGTACTTCTATGAAGTGTTTGTTCATTCCACTTGCCCATATTTTGATTGGGTCTTTTATTTTGGGGAGTCTAATTTTTTTGAGTTCTTTAGTCTAGATATTAGTCCTCTTGAGGAATAGCTGAGTTCCCCCCGCCACTTCTGTAAGTTGTCTTTTGTTGTTTAGTTTGCTATGCAAAAGCTTTTTAATTTGATATGATCCCATTTGTTGATTCTTGGTACTATTTCCTGTGTAACTGGGGTTCTGTATCAGTATCTTTAAAGTGCTGAAAAATCCGTTTAGAATTCTATGTCTAATGAAAACGTGTTTTAAAAAGAAAACTAACAAAAAGTCTTTTCAGACCTAGGAAAGTTGAAAAAGTTCATCACCAGCAGAATGAACTGCAGGAAATTTTTAATGTCTTAGGAAAGTTAGTATATGAACACAGGATTTAAAATTTTTAATTTCAAAGATAATGGAATATTTAAAGCAAAACACAAGATACTCTGTAACAGTTCACCATGATCCTGAGGTTGGAAGGTTCTTTAACTAGAGCAGGATAATGTTACATGAAAGTAAACTCTGATAAGTATGTAAGCTGTAAATGTTAAATTTAGTTACTGGAAAGAAAAATACTTCACAAATAGCTAATAAATCAATAAAGGTGATAATATGCAACCATAAAAAAAATCTAAAAGAAAAAGAACAAAAACTGATAGTAGATTTAAATAGCCATATCCATTATTACATTAAATATAAATTCACTGAACTCATTCACTGAAGGTTCAGATTGAGTTTTTAAAAATCCAACTATAGTAGGGCATATAGCTCAGCAGCACAAGCACCTGGCTCGGAGGCACAAGAATTCAATTCCTGGTACCAAAACAATCCAACTATATACTGAATACAGTACTCTCAATTTAAACATAAAGACATGTACCTTATGAAAATAAAATGTTAGTATATTGAATGCAAATAAAAAGAAAAATTTGTGGGGGTTAGGGCAGTAATTACTGGAGAACCTAGCCATTTTTAATCCATGGTCTCAACTTTCACCTAAAGCCAGAAAGGTAAGTGAACTCCACAAAATAGAAAAAGGAAAACAAGAAAGTGCAATATAAGTGGAAAACAAAACCAGTTGAGAAAATCAGTGAAACTAAAAGTTGTTTAGAAATCAGTTCTGTGGCCACACTAATGAGAAAAACACACTGCCAATGTCGAGTGGAATGTGGCATCACTACAGACTCTACAGATATTTCTGGCAAAGAAAAATGCTAAATATGAAAGGTTATGCTGCTAAGTTCTTTCAAATAGTTAAGAAAATATCTCAATTCTCAACAAATGCTTATAAGGAGAGAAGGGGATAATTCTCAACTTGAGGCCAGTACTACTTTGATAAGCAAAATCAGCATCATGACAAGATTACACAGGTGCAAGAGTTGTACATCAGTTTGAATCCAGTGACGTGTAAAAATGATAATACATATAACCAAGTGATACCTCAAGAATGAAAACAAACTTTAAAAATTATTATTATTAACTCATGGGGAAAACATGATTATTTCAGTAACTGCAGAAAGGATCGAACAAAACCCAACATTCATTTCTTACGGAAAACTCAGCAAAATAAAAATAATTACATTTGTCTTCAAACTGACAAAAAAATCTAAGAAAAAGCAGGATAATACTTCAATAGTGAAGAAAACAAATGATTTTCACTAAGATCAGAAGCAAAGCAAAAATACCTAGTATCCCACATTGTTTCAGTTTTTCTAGCTAGACCAGTCAGACAAGAAGATGAAATAAAGGACACCAGGTTACACATGACGTAAAAGGTCTACTCAGATGACATATTTGACTCTAAAAAATCTTACGGACTGTGTAAAAAAATTAAAACTGGAGAGTGAGCTTGATGATGTTACATGATAGGAAGTCAGTATTTTGAAAACTCAGTAGCTTTTCTATATGTGAGCAACAATCAATGAGAAGTAGTTCAGTAAATTTGAGAAAAGATGCACAGCTTGTACAGTGCATTCTGTAGAACAGATCTGCGAGAATGTGAGCTTAGATGGAGAGACCTTCACGTGAATGGACTAGAAGGCTTGGTGTCAGCTCCGTCCACATAGATGTGCATGCAGCAGAATCCCAATAAGCGTTTTTGCAGGAATTTTTCAGAATTTGTTAAACTGCTTCTAAAATTTGGAATTGCAAAACATTAAGGATAACCAAACCAACCTTAGAAAAAGAAAATGGCACATTTGAGGGCTTATATTTTGTAATTCCTAGAATTGTTACAAAACTGCACTAAGGACCACACAAGAGTATAAATTGATGCAGCACAATACAGTCCCAAAAAAATCCCATGCATGTATACGGTCAACTGACTCTTGGCAAACATGTAAAGGTAATTCAATGGAGAAAGGATAGACTTTCAAAGGGATTTTATTGGAAAAAAAGATATTTACATGGGAAACAAAAACCCTGATGTATACTTGTACTATATAAAACAGTTACCTCAAAATGGATCATAAATTGAACTAAATGTAAAATTTAAAAGATTTCTGATCCAGGGAGTGGTGGCACATGCCTGTAATCTCAGCACTCAGGGGGGCTGAGGCAGGAAGATCACCAGCCTGGACTACATAGTGAATTCAAGGCCCACCTCCACTACAAAATTAGACCCTGTCTCAAAAAAAAAAAAAAAAAAAAAAAAAAAAAAAAAATCTGGAGGACAATATAAGACACATTTTTTTTTTTTTTGAACCTGGGGTAGATATATGCAACACACACACATACACAAAGTAAAAATTGATGTTAAACCTGCAAAAATAAAATATGATTTACAAAAGATGTTCAGAGAATTAAAACACAAGGCATACAAGGTACTGTGAGAAAGTGTTTTCTGATCATAGAGCTAATAAAGTTCTTGTACCCAGAATGCATAAAGGAATTTCAACAAGAAAACAACCCAGGTTTTTTTTTTTTTTAAAATGGGACAACTGATTTAAATGGACACTTCATGAAAGATGATAGGAAGATTGTGAATATGTACACACAAAGAACTTATAATCATTAGTCTTTGGGTGAGATACAGATTGCACCACAATAAGATAATACTACAGTAGCTAAAATTGTGAAAAGTGACTATATCATGTATTGATGAAGATGTGGAATAACTGGAATTTTACACTCCAAAAATATAAAATGGTACAAGTCATCTTAGAAAACATTTTTTAACAGCTTCAACAATTGAATGTACATCTGCTATGTGCCCTAGCCATTCTGTTTCAGATATTTAGGAGAAATTAAAGTGTATATCCATTCAAGAACTGTACTTGCATGGCCATAACTCA